ATTTACATAAACCTTGGATTTTCTCAGATCCTGAGCTATGAAGAAACTTGACTTGGAGTGCCTTTACTACGTCAGTTCAGTGCTTAATGTTTACGAATGCGGTACTCAATATGTATAAAATTGGGCACTTCTCGTCGAAAATTCTCAATTCATTGCCATTAAAGTCAAGTGTCATTTACTTACGCCATATTTAGAAGACGCATATTATATATATATATATATATATATATGTCTCTAAACGGGAAGATTTTCAATAATTATTAGGAGACTATATGAATTTTTTCATCATTGATCTGTATGAAATTTGTTAAAACATAAATACACTGTAACGAGAGAATATTTGCTTTCTTGAAATGTCCAACCAAATCTTTTCTACAACTCTCATTCCGTTAATCGCTTAAATTGCTAATGACTAATCGTCAAAATTTGGCATGGCTTATGACGAGGTATCATTTACCATTGCCTATATAGGTTACGCAGAATTATTATAATACAGGATTATAAGACAGTCACTCGCTTTCTTACTCAATTGACATTATTATTTTGAAGGATCTTTTATAGTTTATTAAACTGAATTAAAACCATATAACTGTGCCTAATTCATCTGACAGTGCTACTATTAGCACATTCTATGCCATTCACAACATCTCCCATTCATTTAGATCAACTAGCAGAGCGGTCTCTCACTCTTACAGTGTTTTGGTGCTAGGGCTCTCAGCACTCAAAAAATACAAGAGGAGCTCCCAGAGGCAGCGACTCAACTCTATGCTGCCCCGGAGACTCATAAATTAATGAGAAATGGTCTAAGATAAACGACCTTCCTCACTTCGTCATGCAACGGCCTGCATACCTGCACATTTCTTGAAAAATTAGATCGGTACTCACTGCAGTGAGTGACAGAGAGCGCATTTTCTCGTCCGTCCGTCCGTGAAGTCACGGACGGACGGACGGACGTGACGAGCCAAATAACACATTTTTTCCATAAATGAGAAAATGCGTTAATAATAATTTTATTACGAAAATTAATTAATTTTCATAATATAAATGTTGGTTCATGAAGTAAGGTGTTTGATTTTTCTTTTTTTTTTCTCCGTTAAAATTAAAAAAACTGGTTAATTTCCATCGCCTATGAACACATGACGCACGCGGCATGAAATGCGAGAGTCACGAAATCAATCCCATTAATGCGATGATAATAATATTTATTATTCTTCACGAAGCAATTCGAATTAAAATTTGTTCACAAAGATACACTGTATTTCAAATGCATCACGCTATTCTTCCGGGAGATGAAGATCAGTGATACGCCACAAGATATGCCCCGAGTGACGTGAGAATTTTTATTGGGTTTTTGAGGATGCCAACAATCCTAAATGAAACCGTCCGTTATACTTCAAGGCGAGATTGTGAGGAGCGTCAGGAATCCAAGATTTACTGCAGCACTTCCAACAAAACGCGAGATGTTAAATCATGTCTGTGGCTGAGGGGCTTGTCATATTATTTATTGGAATAAATGGAAAAATAGTCCTTTGTATGCAGATGTCTGTGGCTGCGAGGCTTCTGAATGCCTTATTACACATCATTTATTGGAATATTTTTGGAAATATTCCTTGGTATTCAGATTTATGATGATTGTCTTGAAAATGAATTAAAATAATATATTTCAACATTATGAGGCCAATAAAAACATTATTTATACATAACCAGATATATTAACAGAATCCTGTCCATATACTACAGTTCACTTGCGCCCGAGTTGTGAAATAAAATACAATAACAATTGAGTCTTTAAAAATGTTCAAATCACCCATGCTCGGTGCAAACAAATGTGCTCTTAGAAGAGACGCTAATTTACTTTACTTTGGAAAGAAAGCAGTAAACAGCCATTATCCCCTAGACAATTAACAAACATTCCAAAAGTTAACATTTTTTACAGCGAGGGAACGTCGAACAAACAAACATAATTTTTATGCCACGTACAGTTATACACAATTAACACATATGGACTTCGATCTTATCGTTCTTTGTGTATGAGAGTAAGTTTAATTTCTTGTAACCTTTGCACTTTTTGATGTAAATTGAAGTGATTTACATACCTGAATGGGCTAGCAATAGAAATTAAATTGAACTTCTAAATTTATGGGATATGTTACATTCCTCATAATCATGGTAGCCATGATACGCAATGATTGTTCTGTCATTTGATTGAATACTTTTACCATGTCATATTCCGTCCATATAAATAAAAATGCTGTCTCGTTTCATTAGTACTGCCTGCTTTTTATACTTGCAAAAGAGAATTAAATCAACTCTATGGCTCTCGAATATAGCGGATCAATTATTATGAATTTCTTGTCGAAAATTTAATAACATTACGAAATATCGCACTTAGATTGCGAAAAATCGTGCAGATTAAAATCTTGTACGTAGTGTGTCCGTCCATTGCATGAGGCCACACTACGTACACAAGATTGTGTGTGTACGTTGTGTGGCCTCATGCAATGGACGGACACACTACGTACACAAGATTGTATACGTAGTGTGTCCGTCCATTGCATGAGGCCGGTGATTAACAGCTACGGTCAGCGGCATTCAAACAAATGCAACCAGTAAAAAATAGCAATGAATTGCCTCCAACCGAGGCAGAATTCCAGCAATCAAGAGTTCGATGCCGAGCTGTAATTAATATCAAAGTTTTGCCAGAATACTCGCTTGCAAAAGCTTGAAGTTTGGCCGACTAAAAAGCAAGATTCGGCTCATCAAGGCTGACAAACGTAATGAGTTTCTTTTTATATGATGGTATTTCGAATTTTAAAAATAAAGATAATTTGCATCAGAAATAATATCATCGAAAAATGGAAGTTATTTTAGTTGAGAAATGTGCAAACTTGGCAATAGATTTACTAAATATCGCGATGTTTTAATTGTTGGATGGAACAATGTAGCGTCGTTTGATAATTAGATACATACATTTTTCCTTCATTTACTTATTATAACTTGAATTGAGTAACAGACTACCTACGCTACCAAGAAATTATTTTGCTCGTTACTGCATAGTTTATTTTAACTTGAAATTCAGTTTGCAAACAATATTGCTTAACAATAATATTGTTTGCTCATTTATGAGTGTGAACATATTCCATACGCCAAGCTCACGGATATTTTTAATGGCCTTCACATTTCTACCACGTAGTCTGAAATATTTATTTCAAATACATCATACATTTTGGCTCTTTACACACGAATCTAGCAGATTCTTGGAACGGGTGCAGCGTAAGTCAGGGGGACTCGAGGAGAGTCAAGAAAGGATGAAAGACTCTGAACTCCTGGAACATATGAACGCAGTGGTATTAAAATATTCATTTAATAACAAAAATCTTAAGAGGTACACTGACAGAAATTTGACTGCTGTTTTGATATACTTAGGTGCATCAAATCATCTCCGAGCGATCGTGCCAAAAGCGAGATACCTACGGCCGCCCGGGTGCATCACAGAAGACCAAGTATATCGAAATTAGGAATTTCGATATACGCGCATGCATCGTTGTGAAAATAAATCTACGGAGAATGATACCTTCTTTTCAGGATCTCTGCAATGTCCTTGCCCAGTTTCGAGCGTCTGATGAAATCATTCCATCATATTCTACTCTTCTGGTCGATCCCTGTCTAATCCATGGCCGCCTTCCTACCAAAATTATGAAAACTATATTTCTCCGTCACTACCTGATTTCAACGCTTCTCTCCTTCACAGCGGAATTAGTCACATATTTATTCCTTCTACACTTATTTATTACACGTTTTATATCGGTATGTACAATCATCATGAAACTAACTCATTTTGCTCTCACCTCTGTCGAACTCTGATTGAAGAAACTGCGAGTCACCCGCCGAGATTCGAACCGCTGCCAAGACTGTAGTCGAGTGCGCGCGACTATGCCTTAGCCCACTGAGCCACGGAGACGGCAGTCACATAGAGTCGCAGTGTTTGCTTAGTCTTGCGTGCGGTACTACCAGAATAAATCTTTGATTTTAAGATCAACTTATTGTGTGATAGAATGGTATAGACGTAGTTCAATAACATTACTATTGACAAAAGAAAGACTTGATCTAAGGATTCAAAGTCATTCATCAAGTTTCTTGACGTTCCAAACTGACTCACGCTGTTTCCATGCTGATGAATCTAATTAAAGATGCTAAAATTATCACTGAGCCACAAATTAGAAAAATTAATCAATAATGAATGGCAATAATCGGAAGCATTATTCACACTAGGAAAATGTTAATCTGTTGACACTAATCGCACGTTCGTTGCGATAACGATAGTCATTTCCTTCTACTATGCAATTCAAAAATGTTCGCTTTTCATGTGATGCCTCGGTAATTCATTTCAGCAGACAGTCGTACAAAATCGTTGAAAATATGATACCAATTTAAATAAAAGTTCTATGCCAGTTTGTTTTTATTTACAATTATTCAAGAAACGAATCTCCTTTCGCAAAATTAACAACAATAATAATGACGACAACAATCGCTAAATTATGTTAACCTGATAAGATTGGACCTGAATTTCGGACTCTTTTGAATGCTTCCAAAGATAAAAAATTAACCTTATTTGGAGGTAGGGAAACGAAATTGGAACCCCTATTTACATTTGTTTGATTGAAAATTGGTAGAATGCATAAAAATTTAGTTATGCAAATTCACAAACAATGAAAATAATAAATAATGATGAAATTAGGAATGAATTCCGAATTCTTAGACTGGAAGATCGTTTTCACAGGCTCGGCGTTCGTCAGAGCCCAGCGGGTTGAATTTCGCTTTTTAGCGCATTTTCTCATAGATGGAAAAAATGCACTATTGTGCCTGTCATGTCCACCCGTCCGTGACGTCCGTCCGTGACTTCACGGTCGCTCTCTGAGAAAATGCGATCTCTGTCACTCAGTGCAGTGAGTACCGAGTTATTTTTTACTTTCCGATCTCCATGGCCTCAAACCCTATTTCATCAGCAGCAAAATTTAAAAAAAACACCCCAATAATATTGAGCCGATATGGAATATATAACGTTTTTCGATAACCGGTTTTCGAAATAAGGGGGCGAATTTTTGTTTTGAGTCAAATTTTCTCACACCTTAGCTCAAGAATGAATCAAGATGAACATTATTATTTCCATATTCCTATTTATGATATCGTTTGTATAATAGTTAAGGAACAAATTTCTCGACCTTTCGCTTTAGCAGCACGGCGGGAAAGTTGTTAAAAAATCCTATGACAGTTCTTAATATATATATTAACTTTGTTCAATACATCAACAGTTAATTTAACAAGCACAGTCACACAAACATCGCGTTATATAGCATCTATAAATATCTTAACACCAAATATAACAACATATAGAACTATATTTTAGCACGGGTCAACAAGGGTTTTCATTCGTAAATTTGCATTTACATATTTGTAAATTTGTACATTTCATTCGTAAACTATTTCTTTATGCATAATACATTTTCTTACTAAAGAACTAGCGTCTTTGTCCCGGGCGATATCTTTGAGATTTTCTACCACACAAAATCCTCTTGAACGCTTGCCGAAACTCGGGACTGAATATAGTATATATTATTGGGTTGAGCGTCGAATTGAAGTATCCAAGCCACAGGAAAAACGAGAACATGACATCTGACATCCAACACGAGGGGCACACCGGCATCACCAGAGCAATAGCAAAGAACGGCATCCAACAGACCACAAAAGCTCCGGTGATAATGGCCAAAGTTTTGGCAGCTTTCTTCTCCCTCTTGGCATCGAGAGATTCCTTCTTAGTTTTCTTAAGGTGGGACGAAGGAACCGAGTCGCTTACTTTTTCTAGTGAGTTATTAGACGAGTCTTTAGCTTTAGGCTCGAGCTCCTTCATAACGGGGTTCTCACTCTTACTAGAGACTTCAACCTCTTGCGATGAAGTTGCTGAAGCAATGAGACTGGAAGACTCTTTGTTGTTCGCAAATTCGATTGGTAATGAGGCTATCGGGTGGTGAGCGATGCCGCCTGTGGATTTTAATGGATCAGTTTGCAATCTATTCTCCGAGGCTGATAGCTTCCCAGTCTCGTCCGCCGGGTAAGGCTGAGTAATAGGCAAGTGGTCTATAGCAAACCATGATGAACACACTTCAGACTCATTCACAATTTTCCTCCTATAAGAAGGGGAAAGATTGTCATAAGAAGATGACAACGGAAAATCATAAACAGAATCTGTGTTGGTAGATTCGTTTTTAAACAGCGATCGAGTGCTCGTATTAGTTGATTCATGTTTGTAAAGTGTTGTGTGTTCTCTTTGGTAACTTTGATCCTGACTCAGTGATTCACCGTTTATTCCTCCAGCATCTTCAGTAAGAACAGACGCATCTACCTTACGACAAATATCGGTCTGAATTGGTGCAGGATGGATTTGCATTTGTTCTCTTTTCTGCAAGAACGTTCGGTATTGTAAATCTATTCCAGAATTTGCACCTAACTCAAAGTTGCCATCGAAACTGAACCTATCTCTGCCGTCAACGTTTGCAAAGGTATACTGACCAACACTACCGGTTTTGACTATTCGAAGTCCTCCGATCTGATCACCTCGACCGATATTGTGGTGCTGTGGCTCTCCTGTGTGCATGATTGACATAGAATGTATGAACTCTGATGGATCTCGGACAGACCCATAAGGTCCCATGACAGCTACCGAGTTGCGGTGAGTGCTTAGGAACACCGGCGTTGGTTGGATGATGACTTGGTTGCCTGATATGTAAGCCAGGCCAGCAGGCTGCGGTAATTCGCATGTCTCGACTTCCTTTAGTTCGGCGTCATCGTTGAAGCTCTCGAGGTATTCCACTGATTCGCAAGCGTCAGTGCCGATGTGGGAATTTTCGATGTGCGTAGCTTGTGAATCACATTTTTGTGAATCAAACACTCCGTTTGAGCGTACAGCTGCGGATTCTGCTTTTTTCTCTCTTGACTGTAAATAGAGAATGATGAATGATGATTCAAATGCAATACTCATAGGTCCTTGCTACGAAATTTTCATCTTATCAAGTATTTTATTATTTCCACTATTTTAAATATTGATACATATTGTAAGGGATGGAAATGATTGTTATTTATATATATCGGAGTATTGATTGTATAATTTGTTTATAGTCCGGAATTTTAAATTGTAATTTTAGTTTAGAGTTTACGGAAGGCTAAGTGCGGAAGGAGGAGGTTATAAGATTATTCTGTCGTGGAAAGCCGGGGCGGAGGAAAGCCTCGTATCGGAGAGTTACAACCAAAATGAAAAGTTAAGACTCAAATGGAAATCTAGCCTTAAGAGCTAAGCACCAAGATCAAAGCCATGAAGTGAACGTGCTAGTGTCATTATTTATTTATTATTTATTTGTTAATTTGAAAGTGTGGTGTAATAAAGTGTTTTGAATATCGTGCAGTAATGAATAAACCTATGCGATCATGAAGGCTAGTTGGCGGTTCAAAGAGCCCCAATATGAATGGTGTCGTGACCAGGATCCATTTATGTTGGGGCTCCCTGAACCACTAACTAGCCTTCATGATCGCATAGGTTTATTCATTAATGCACGATAATCAAAACAATTTATTACACCACACTTCCAAATTAACAAATAATTAATAAATAAATAATGACACTAGAACGTTCACTTCATGGCTTTGATCTTGGTGCTTAGCTCTTAAGGCTAGATTTCCATTTGAGTCCTAACTTTTCATTTGAGTGTAACTCTCCGATACGAGGCTTTCCTATAAAAGAACCAAATAAAAATAGATAAAACTGATAGTAAGCAAACATTAAAATGCATATAAACTCTAAATATTCACAAATCTATTCCGAATAAAATCTATTCACATATATATGTATTTACATATTGACATCCTAACACAGCACATACCTCCGCTCCCGCTCTCCACGACAGAGTAATCTTATTACCTCCTCATTCCGGGGAGCGCAGCCGTGGGTAACAAAATTGACTCGTAAACAGGCCCTGGGCCCAACGCCAACCATCAGCATGCAATATCTAAACATAACCTCAGATCAATGAGCTGTGGGTAACTCCGGCTAACAGTAAATCCGCTTTGCACAACACAGCCACTGCTTCACAGCGCAGAAGCACAACTGGCCGGAGCGCAACAGGCGGCGCAGGTTAGGTTAGGTTAGGTTACGTTAGGAGTAGCTGTTGCGGTAGGGCCTGTTGCGCCCCGGCCAGTTGTGCTCCGGCCTGTATGCGCTCCGGCTTGTGACTGAACGGCGCTGTTGTGGTGGGCGCTTTGTGTCAAAAGCCGTGAAGATGCCCGGCTGCATTACGCTCGGGAAGATATATGAATCGCACTGTGAACTTGGGCTATGCTGACCTCTAGCTATCCACCCCTTCTTCCGCATTTAGCCTTCCGTAAACTCTAAACTAAATGACAATCTAAAGTTCCGGACGATAAACAAATTATACAAAAAATACTCCGATATATAAATAACAATCATTTCTATCCCTTACAATATACTGTCGGAAAAGCACACGCATAAAAATTAATTATTCTTTTTTGTCGTCATTCATATCGAATAGTAGTAATTTTTTGTGACAATTTCATATTCTATTGATGACGGATTTATCATTGAGTGCATAGGACAACACTTTCGGGAAATACACATTTTCCGTGCAGAGTATTTGCACTGCTTTTCATGAATGAAAATTAATCAATCATGAATTCTGAGTAATCATAACACTTGAAGAATGTTTTCTCAATGCCAGAACATGAAAAAACTTCTCACCTTTGATCTGAAGCTGAGCCTCTTAGGAGCTTTGCTCTTGCCTGGGCGCTTGTGAAGTCGCTTTCTGGCGGTTTGGAAGATCCGCCAATACAGAATGAGGATGGCTGTGAGCGGCACGTAAAAAGTGGCAAGTGTTGCGAAGATCTGGTAGCCCAAATCTTGTGACACGAGACATTTCTTCTGCTCGTTCACGCGGAACAGATAATTCGGATCTTTCCATCCGAAAAACGGAGCCATGGATACGATGACAGCTGTCAACCAGACGAGCAGGATCATGATACCGATACGCTTACCGTTGCGGCGAGCCTGGATGTAGTCGACTTGAGTCACGGCCCAGTATCTGCAGGTAGAAATTTCATTGTATCGTGAAAAAAGAATCCACTTTTGGTTATTTATTTATACCATAAATACATCTTTCGAGTAATCGGAAGTTTTATTGTAGTCGGGTCAATGAAGATTAAAGTCAACAATCATATTACGCTTATTCGGTATCTCACGGTGATTCAACAATTTTTGCGCTGAATATGCATCATAAATTTGTTGATGCATTTCATATGGAATATTTTATATTTTATGGATTTCAAGTGCTTTTGTCACTAAAAATTACAAATCCAAGAGTTTCTCACGCATAAGAATTTGAGTTCTTAACTTGAATTGTGATGCATAAATTGTGCAGTCATGTGGTGAAGGCGTAAATAGTTATCTGCAGTTTACACCGTTCACTAATGTTGAAATTTTGACCTATATAAAATTTGCTAGTTAATTTTAAAAGCAGGGAAAATTTGAGTTTAAATTTTACTCTTCCTAAAATTCGCTATCCAATTTTAGAAGCAAGGAAAATGGAGTGCTAAATTTTCCCTTCTGCACCAATTGATTGGTTATAACTTAACTAGCTATAAAATAAATAGCACTTTTCTCGAGATTTCCAAGTAGTACTGAGAGTTTCAACCACGCCATTTTCCTCACGCTTACTAAGCAAGTATTTTTATGCAAACGGTAAAAGATTTTTGCATTACTAATCGTTCCGCATGTAGTAAAAATCCCCGACTTATGTTACATGAAACTTCGTGACCACTATATTGTTGGCTAAAAAGACTAAATTAATTCTTTCCTACGCATCTCAAGCACTCAAGAAAGTCAATATTAATCTTCGATACGCGCAGATTTAAGTAAAATCTTTTCCTGACGAGCCTCACGGCACGAGTTGCGTATGAGGACTGATCAAATGCAAATATAATATATAATAAAAGATACGCCACGTACAGATCAAATGCAAATATAATATATAATAAAAGATACGCCACGTACAGATCTAATGCAAATATAATATATAATAAAAGATACGCCACGTACAGATCAAATGCAAATATAATATATAATAAAAGATATGCCACGTACAGATCAAATGCAAATATAATATATAATAAGAGATACGCCATGGACAGAACAAATGCAAATCTTCACCTGTCCAGCGCGATGGCTACAAGATGAAGTATTGACGCCGTACAGCAGAGCACGTCACTGGAGGTCCACATGTCGCACAGCTCTGGCCCCAACACCCACTCCCGACTGATCTGCAACTCAGGACATAACGTTTACAGTCAGGGCCTATACTTTCAAAAAAGTTAAGAGATCGTAAGTTCATCAGCAAATCATTGACGACCTTTCAAGCAAAATCCACCAATCATATACAAGAAAATTGAACGTAAGTACTTACGTTCTTACGTAAAAAGTTTTGAAAGTATGGCCCAGGTGTATAAATATTATGAATATTTGCAAGTTCTTAACTCCGTCTGTCAATCACTGAAGGTTTTTCAATCTAAACTTACGAGAAATTCGTTGCAACGTGTAATTTTTTTCACTACGGGTATTTTGGCGGCTACTTGTACTAGTTCTAGCGAGTTTTGATAGTACGATCCCAGATAACAGTCTTTCGTGACCTCGCTGATCTAGATTAATCGATCAAAAATACCAACATTAGTACTAAAACAAACCAAAATTTGTACAATCAAATAATAAGGCTTTTCGCTTCTTGACATTTGTAAGTCCATAAGAAACCGTCGTTAGCTGAAAGTTTCCCGAAATTTCCTTCGTGCATAATATTACCTTACAACCCCCATGATATTCATCTGACCGAGAATTCGGTCCATTGCCAGAAGATGAATGACTTCAATACGCTGTTCGTGGCATCCTAGACGTTATATTCCGGACGGAACCGTTAATTAGCAGCAACAGACCCCGACCAACAGGGAGATATCTTGATTGTTAATCAGACTAATGAGATTCACGGCAGCAGGATGCCGTGGCGTGGAATTGTTGCGTTGTGTGGCCAGTCAATATTGCAACAGCTTTCTTTCTCAGTCATCTATATACAGTCAGTCCTAGCAAGCCGGGATCGTTAGGTGGTGGTCATACGTAAACACATTCCATGGTCTTCATACAGACTTCAGTCCACACGGACTGTCAGTCCAAGCAAACCGTCATATTTAGTTGTACAAGGTAAACACAATCCGTAGTCTTTATACGTACTTTTGCCTTCACGGACAGTAAGTCCAAGCAAGACGTGATCTTTGGCAAAGTAAACACCTTCCGGTAGGTAGACGTGCACATGCTTTGCTATATTCTCGTATTTAAATTCAGTCTACACGGCCAGCTAGTCAGATCAAACGAATCGTGTTCTAAAGGGAATTATACGTATAGATACATAACCGGTGATCTTTTTGTGTTTTCATCCAAGTTAACCGTGCGTTAGATCCTGTTGTGATACATTCATGTGCGCACAATTAAGTTTTTAGTAAGATCAATATTTCTTATGCATCCTTTTTCAAGTGAAAAGTGGTTGCGCAGTATAATGCATTATTGAAATCAATACCAATTACCTGAAAACAAAATGCATTAAAACCTATAAGTCACATTTTACATTGAACTTTCTGAGTGCAGGAACTTCATGCGTCGACTGAAGGCAATTAAGTCGCCTTCATCACGAGACCTTCACCTCATACACGGCGCCCAGGGGCATCACGAGACCTCACCTCATACACGGCGCCCAGGGGCATCACGAGACCTCACCTCATACACGGCGCCCAATACGTACTTTTGCCTTCACGGACAGTAAGTCCAAGCAATCAGTGGTCTTTAGCTATGTAAACACATTCTGGTAGGTCTATAGACGCACATACATAGATATATTCTGGTATTTACATTCAGTCTACTCGGCCAGCTAGTCAAATCATACGAATCATGGTCTAAAGTTCTTAGCAAGATCAGTATTTCTCATGCATAATATTTTTCAGTACCTACTCCTTGAAAACAAGATGTATTAAAACCTATCAGTCACCTTTTACGCTAAGCTTTCTGAGTGCAGGAATTTCATGCGTTGACTGAAGACATTAAGTGCCTCATACACGGCGCCCAGGGGCATCACGAGACCTCACCTCATACACGGCGCCCAGGGGCATCACGAGACCTCACCTCATACACGGCGCCCAGGGGCATCACGAGACAGGCCACCATGAGGTCGGCGACCGCCAAGGAAACTATGAGGAAGTTCGCGACTTGCTGCAAGTTTCGCTCCAGCAAGATCGCTGCGATCACAAATACGTTGCCTGCCACACGGAAAAATATATGGTAGAATGATTAGTGCTGAACAAATAAAATAATATGAAACAGTTGGCTGTTGCAACAAAAAGATGTAGGAACATAGCCGCCGTTAATACTTTAAAATAGTAATGATAGGCCATATTGCATTTTTTCAATTCGAAATCGGCGATGAAAGGATTATATATTGTTGCCATGAATAATCAATTCAGTTATGTAATCTTTTAATTAATATATTTGCATCATAAAAGAACTATTGCAGATCTCACCTATAACAGTAGTAAGTATCATGACGCCGAGGACGACAGACGTGGCTATCATGCCGGCCGTGGACATGGCGGCCGTTGCTCCATCGTAAGAGCCATCGATGTCGGTGTCATTGTTCGACTTGTTATCGAACAGTGTCCAGTATTGGTCATTATTTATGAGACTCGAGTTGAAGGTTGAAACAAAAGAGACGTCGTGGGTAAGAGTACCAATACTCGCTGGTATTACCATTTGAGCAATACCTTCAGCGGCACCATGGGGTAACATAGGCCCTTTTCGGCCCTCCAGTTCATACCCAGAACTGGGCGAAAAATGTGGGCGGCTTCTTGGGTCGTAATATGAGCTCGTCTGCCGACTGGAAGAACTGGACATGGGCTCCATGTCAGTGTGACTAACGTTGGAGCGCCAAGGCATGTTAACGGAGCTCCAGAGGGTTAGGTTTAGAGGAAAAATTGGTTTATTTGCGTTCGAAGCTTCAGTGGTCGTAGTGCTGAGGCCGAGGAGGATATGGGCTGAAGGGAGGTCGCTGCTGTTCATGTAATCTTTCAGGTCAGGTAGGGTATAATTCCAGGGAAAAGGTTTCAGTCCTGTAGGGAGAAAATAATTCCCTGAGATGAGAAAAGCCCCACAATTATCTTCTTCAATGGTGATCTTCTGACACATTAAGAAGATCACCATTGATGCAATGGTATTAATCAAGTGTCTCTTATGATGGTGACCAATCAAGTGTCTCTTATGATAGTGAGCAATCAAGTTTCTCATATGATATGACCAATCAAGTTTCTCTTATGATGGTGAGAAATGATGGTGATCTTATCATGGTGATCTTCTGACACATTAAGAAGATTACCATTGATAAAACAACTCTGGTCAGTGTGTTAACTACGTATAGGTGCTTATTAAAGAGTAAGACACTTTGTAATCACCCACGTCCAAGTGAGTGTAATTGTATATTTGCACTTATGGGTCTAGCGATTTTTTAATTCCTATATTATAATTTGAAGTTTGCATTAAGAGCAAGGTCAATGGCTCTTATGGTATCATAAACCCATTGCCGATAAATGACCTACAAATTCTTTTCCGATATCCTGACATTTTCATAACAAAATAGAGAAGGTAAATTCTTGTTTGAGTAACACTTTTCAACAGCAAATTTAATATATACATCAAATAACACTCAGCGGCTATGTAATGATACAATTGGTATCCCGTATTTTACTATAAACTTCCTCATATTAGTATGAAGGAGTTCTTATATATATTATTCCGCTGAATCATATTAATTATTTCTATTTGATCGTTACGCTAAGAAATATTGAATGAACTACCAACCCAGAGGGCGGTGTCTTTGTAAATTAATGAGTAGAAATACTCGCATTTAAATAGAGTAAATTGAACTAACTTTTTTAAGAATGCAGATACTTAAAAATCGACCTACGTTCTGTACTCGGCAGTAATTAACGCGTTACTGTCAATAATTAGATAATTAATGCGATCGACAGTATTTAATAGGGTAAGTTTAAGCGAATAATAATTGTCTTGATTGAGTAATCCTAATCTAGATGTATTNGCAGCACTCACCGACACGCATGCACGCAGCACTCACCGTCACGCACGCACGTAGCACTCACCGACACGCATGTTGCTCGCTGTCTGCTTCACCAGCGATGGACCCTCCGTGCGCACCTGAAAGGAAAAAAAGCGGCCAAAAAAATTGTTGACTATTAAATTTCAACGAAATTAACAGAAAAGAATAAAGAAGAATTGTTTACTGCACTGCTTCTCCTGCATATTCCAATATATACATTTTCTAGTGAAAGTTGTAAATTTTGCTGTATCTTCACGTATCCTAATTTAGGTAGGGGTTATTTCAGTAACTGTTCCACTCAGGCTTTGAATGAAAGAATAAAAAATAAGAGTTTTGAGCCATACAAATATTTTATAGTCGCAGGAAACCGCTGAGCAAATTTCTGATGAATGATTGCGAGATCAGCAACGATTGACCGTCTCTTGAATGGTGCATGTTCATGACGAGAAAATTCTCTCCCTCCACAAAATATTTTTTTAATCCTGGATTGTTGACGGGTCCAGCACTCAACAAAACGCCCACACACTTCAGAAAACTGAAAGCCACTTCATGCAGCACTCACTCCAGTTACCGTAACACTCTCTCCCTCTCAACGAGCTGTAAACTTTTCCAGCACATCGCTTGCGTTCGTGGCGCCAAAAAATGACGAATTTCCTCCAACACTTCAGTCCCACAGGCTCAGGAATCGCAGGGTGTGACAGAGGAGTCTAAGTTTTCATTGCTCTCAAACTTAGCTTCTCGACACCTTCGAAAGAAAGCTCAGAGTTAAACTAACTTATCTCCATAAAAAGTTAAGCCATCGTCGAAAATAAAATCGTCTGGAGCCTCTTCTCTAGACCAAAAGATGCACTCTGGGATGACTTATCAAGTGTTGAACAAATTATTGGAATTGAGGTGTTACCGCATTTATATCCCCGGTGTTTTTAATCTAATTACAATGGCAATGTTTCAAGGACGTCTCATTCATAACCGGTATTTACAATTAAAACGAAACAGAAAATTGACTTGATTCTGTGGACTTTATTGTCTCCAAAATGTCCTTGGGGTTAAAATCTACTTGCTAGTATTATATAATTTTTATATAATACTTATATATACAATTAATACAATTATTATTAATATAAATTAATATAATACAATTATTATAATTTTTGCAGCATAAGCTAAACTGAACGTATCAACCTAAATAAGTCTGCGAAATATTTTGGAAAATGCAGGTTAAGTGTTAAACTGTTGAACACCGGGCTCCATATTAAACGTGTATTTGAGTTAATCAAACATTTAACAGATTATCGTTCAGTTCTGCTTAGCATTTGCTTGCTAATCCGAGAAAGTCAAACATCGATGAGCATTCTTGACCGACTACAATGGGACCCGGAGCGAATGGACAGGCCTTCTATTTCCACATAAATCCTGCGACCGCCAGAAATGCGGAATATGAATTCCTCAGGAAAACGAACGAGAACAAAACCTGCCACAGAAAATCGGACTCGACCAAGCCGAAACTGAGTATAAAGAATGTTACGCACCGGCGCTGAGACAGGAACTCTGGCAAAACCAATATTTTACTCAGAGTAACATGTTTCATTTATTCTAATTGTAAGAATATATACATTTTCAACAATTATTCCGACCACAGGATCGATTTCCTGGACCGAATGAGATTAACAGAAAAAAATTATGGTCGAAATCGGTCTATATCTTTGGTGAATTTTTTGTGACACAATCGACGAGTGAGGAACGAACAAATGAAAACTACTATTTGCACTATTTCTGAAGAATATTTTGTTCTAACCAATTATTTCACGATATCCAAGACTTAATAGACCCGAAAATTCACCATGTCATCATTGAGTCTTTTAATTGGTGTTAAAAAAACATGATGATTGTGCTAATTAAATGGATTTTACAACGTTTAATACTCACCTAGGCAAACATTGCAATCCTGAAACAATAACGAATTGAAAATTACAACTGATTGTTGACTCCGATCTTTCAGCGTTCAGTTAAAATTAAAACAATTAAATAAAAACTATTTAAGACTTGCAATACTTAAATCAAGAGACTCTGAGGTAAAATGACGTCATTCAAATATGGCAGCCTTAATTGAGCTACAGGTCTCGGAAATTACGCTTCTTCTTTTGATTATCTGCTGAGCTCCTCAATTAGCATGTGGACGAGCTGGCAAATATATGCTCAGGCTGTGGCAAATTAAGTGTTCATTTAATTAAGTGTTCATTTTATCTACGGCATGGTTACAAACCAATGGGTTTTGGAGCTTTTGTTCACATCACCGAAACTAACTCATTATCTTCAACCTTGACAGTGGCGTAATAATGTTCTCGTAGATTCATTATTCTTTTGTGACCTGAACTTTCAAAATTTACAAAATAATACTGGAGTTTCATCTGAAATAAATTAAAATTTTGCCCTTTGATTCTTTGCACTCAGTAAGCGCTTTGAATTTCAAATGGAGTTTATACATTTTTTAATTGATACAATTTTAAACACTACTTTGTCGCATTTGTTGAACGAATAAATTATTCAGGGTTTGAGAGTTTGATTGAGGAAGTTTTCCTGAGATGGATTTCAAAGTTCGCTTCTCTAAATGAGATTTTAAACTAGTCACCTTGAACGTTCGCTCTAGTCTTATATCTCCCGCCATGAAATATATTTGTTTTGAATGGGATTTAAGCGTATACAAAAGTAATATCACAAATCTCCTCTTACTGACGTTTGCTAATCATGTAAGACTATTTTGTAATAGTTGTATGTAGTATTCAATTTTCACAGTCTAATTTTCACCCAAAATCGGAAAGATTAGTCTATTTAATTTCATACATTCACATTTATCATTTTAATGCTAACATTGCAAAATTTAAATTTTTTGAATCTCGTGTACTATTTCTCCATCAATATTGCAAGATTTAATTGAATAGATTCACATGTATCATTTAATGCCAACATTGCAAAATTTAAATTCTTTGAACCTCACGTACTATTTCTCCATCAACATTGCAAGATTTAATTTCATAGATTAACATGTATCATTTTAATGCCAACATTGTAAAATTTAAATTCTTTGAACCTCACGTACCATTTCTCCACTGGCAATGCGAGATTTAATTTCCTTATCTCACAAGGTTCATTTTCTGCAGAAAACAGATGGTAGTTTGAGGTCATTCCTCAGGAAGTGCAATAACTCCAGAACGATAACTCTTATAGGCCTCCTTGACACGATGAATTTCTTGCTTTCTCAAGTGTGAAAAACTTTCCCCTGATTTAATCCGCGACGAAATCTTTTCCAAGGCTGGAAACAGTCTTCTGAAGTCGTCTGTTGGTCCACACAAAAAAAGCCTCACTTTTAGTACATGAAAGAAAAAATAATATTACCTTGAATCTTAGTCTAAAATAAAGCGACAAGTTATATGAAGTAGCCGCTGCCTTTCATGGTTTTTACCTGAGAATTGTTTGCTTCTTCAAATACATTCAATGTAATCTTTGCGATAATGAATTTTTATCACGCCAAAGCGACAACATTTATTTTTATAGCGACAAATTGTTGCTTGTAGCTACTGCAACCACAGATGCATGTAGCATCAGTAGCCACTGCAACGATTCCCTTTAGTTAAAAAATTTACTATTCGAGTTAAGAAAATTGTGAAGTATTGTTTCGATGGAAAACAAATACAGTGAGATGTGGGTAGACGGATGAATCTTGTGTTACCACTATTTAGATTAAAAAAAAGCTTTTTGTCAGAGTGGAGTACAGCTTCACAAGCGATTAAACTTCAAAGCTCAAGCAATTAAACTTTACACAAGAAGATAGAATTCGAATTTGAATATTATTCACCCTCTTTCACTAATCGTTATTATTCTCCCAACTCATTATTTAAAGGAAAATTCCTGCAGCAAATCTAAAGGCCCATCAATAATATAACCCCACTCAATATTTTCTAGCAGAACTTATGTAAACATATTTAAATAATATTTCGCCGATCATAAATATTAATTAAAATCATTAATCTGTAGAAAAATGCAGGTGAAACTGTTAGAATAAATCTAGACTAATCATTGATATTTAACCCAGCTCACTATTTTGTGCTAGAACGCATGCAAAATTACCGTGATTTTCATAAAATGTCTTATTAAACATCACCAAGCATTAATGTTAACCCAATTTATTTTCTTGCTGCAGAATGCATGCTAATATATTGTTCTAAATCTCTGCTCGTCATTATTATCACCCGATTCTCTTAATTCAGTACTTAAACGAAAGCGAAAATCTAACATTAAATCTTGGCCCATCATCATTAATTTTACCCCACCCCATAATGAAGATAAGAAGTACTCACAACGGAGCAATCTAACGCATTGATTCATGCAAATCTCATGGATCACAAATTAATATTTTCTATTATATATTGTTCCTGTGACACACATTAAGCATTCGCTGAATGTATTCAGCAGCGCCGTGCCACTCCCACTCGGTCGAAGCTGTAAGTGGATGGAGTGACTCGCACGTGTCATGTTCATCATGATATTCATAGAAAAAATATTGTGAGTGTTGGATTTATCCATAATATTTCGATCTTATGTACGTTTTACAGATGAAAAAAGTTTCCCAATGATTTTGGAAATGAAAATAATCTTGTTTATTAAAAAATATTTTAATTATTTTAATTCTTTAGAATTTGAAAAGAATTTAATTCTTTTTATTTTTTTAAGTTTATTTTTTTCTTTTTTAATAACAATTTTTTTCTTGTTATAAACTTTCTATGCGATATTATAAGCGAATAAAATCGGACGTATCCGATTTCTAATCACTATTAAATTAAAGATTTTATCATGAAATTTCACTATAATCACTTGTGTTAGACTTAAAAATAATTTATCTGACAGCAACTCTTATGCTAAAACGATTAAACATTTTAGTTTGAAAAAACTAACTACCTGAAATTTGCCGTATATTTGCTCGTAATTTGTCGCCCAGAGAACCACCATGCAAAGATTTTCGTCTCTGTTAGGACATTACGTTCGCTCAAGATATCTTCAGAATTATCGGCAGAAAAATTGAACATTTAATCATTGTGTATTT